ACCAGCCTGTCTGTCTTCCCACTGTGGCAAGTTACTTAGTTTCGAGTTCTAACTCTTCATAAGATTGATACCTATGACTTTTCTTCTTAGAGTTCTTTCAAAGAACAAAGAAATAATTTACATCTTTTATATTAAAACTTATTCTATTTTGCCATTACCTTAAAGTCCATTGGGACCCATTTTATCTAAGGACAATGTATCTAAGACACACTGCAGGACCCTGGTGATCTTCCCTTTCCTATATCGTGAGATAGTTCACTATTTCATTATCTTAGGAATTGCTGTTACTCACCATTACTCATCAATTGTTTCCAACCATACTAAAAAAGACAAAATATATATGTCTTATATATATGTACTGAAATATATGATATACATAATTGCGTACTGGGAATTGAACCCAGAAGTACTCTACCCCTGAGATACATCTCCAGCCCTTTTCATTGTATTTTGAGTCAAGGTCTAAATGAGTTTCTCAGGTTGGTCTCAAACTTTCCATCCTCCTGCCTCAGTCTCCTGAGTTGCTAGAATTACAGGTGTGCCCCGCCACACTCAGAGGCAAAAATAATTTTTAAATGGAAGAGTGACGGAATGACCCAGAAGGATATGGCAGTGGTAATGCCGAGCATCATGTGTTGTTTTCTCATTGCCAAAGAATGGCCTCATGTTTCAGGGAGGTATGAAAGAAGGCACAGATACCACTTCTATAGTCCGCTTTCAGTCTTCACGGAACACAATCGACAATTCATTTTCCTCTCTTAAAGGCAAAGAAAAGTAAATGAACAAAGAAAGACATCTCAAACTATTAGACCAACCAGAAGATGAAATGAGAGCAGCTCTCAGGATTCTAATGATGGCAAAATGTATCCAATACGTGAAATCTCAGACTGAGTCCTCAGATGGCACTAGCTGGAGTGAATTTTCTCAAACCTAGGATCAGTGTCTAACAATGCATCTTGAAGGACAAAAAGGGAATACAGGATTTTCATCCTGTTAGTCAGCAGGGAGGACTTTATTATGCCATAATTTGTGACAGGAACCTGGAGCACCCCACTTTGTTAAAAGGCCATGTGACAGCATTATTTCATTTTGGATGATGTTCATGCATCAGAACTCCCTTGATGCAAAGAACTTTGCTACATTTGAATTCTTATTAAAATTTCTAATAAAGTTGTTTTTCACTATCCCCTTTCCTCACTTCTATAAAATATTCATAGAATAACTTGAAACATAAGCGTAAATAAGTAACCCATTGGACCCTGACGGTTAATGGTGTTGACCATTTGCCCTGGTGTCCTGGGGCTCAGATGAGGTACAGATAGTCATGTCTACCTTCTAGAACCTTCTCTTGCTGTTCTAGTCCACCTGGAACTTGCCCTCACTCTGAGTTACTCTTCCAAGAACCTCCACAACAATGACTTAATGCAGGCTATGTATTTGCTAGGTCTCTTGCCTAAACCAAATCACAAAGATCTCTAGGGCAAAGATATTTGTCCAACAAACCTCTGAAAGCTGTGGCTGGGACTGTAACCAGTCATAGAGACACAATGGCAGGCCAATAGGCATCGCCCTTCCCCTGGTGGCATTTATCCAGAACCTGGGTCATGGCCATGCCAGAACCAGATCACAGGAAGCCTCCATGAAAAGACTCAGAGCTGGTATGGACAGACCTGGGTTTGATGAGTTCTTCCATCTGCAGGACCCAAGGAAAACGTCAGCTCTCTGAAGAGTGTTCTTCCTCTGAGAAATGGAGGTCTGTTTTCTTTCTTGGGAGGGGGGGGGGTGCATTAGTTTGCTTGGGGTGCCATAACAACACTGCGGCCCGGGTACTACAACAGTGGACTTTCACTTCCTCACGGTTCTAGAGGGTGAATGTCCAACATTGAGAGGACACCAAGTTTGGTTTCTCCGAGCTCTTTTTGGCTTGCAGGTCGTCACTTTCATGACCTCTCATGGCCTCTCCTCTGTATGTGCCCTTTCCTCTTCTTATTAGGACTCCAGTCGTATTGTGGTAGGGTGCACTGTGTGCCTTCTTCTTACCTTAATCACCTCTTTAGGGTCCTGTCCCCAAATACAGGGGCTAGGGCTTCAACGTGTGAATTCAGTCTTGAGAGGGGCCTATGAGGATTAGAGCATATTGCTTAGATAACGTCCCTAGCACACCACAGACACTCGATCTAAAAGCATCTATTTACCATTAACGTCTCTTGACACCCAGGCCAATACCTTTCTTGCAGAATTCTTTGAACAAGATGAGAGAACAGAATCCATTCCCTGATATTTTTGTGACATCTTTTTACCTTCTTCAAGAGAACTCTACCTATTTCTTTGAGTCTTTCCTCATGTTTTCCCCCACTGGCAAAAGAGAGCATGAAGGCCGGACCAGGGGAATCGTGTCTTTCATTCATTTGCTGCAGCGATGAGCTCCGTGCTTGCCCACGGTCAGCGCTTCCCCAGGGATATGAACTGGACACGAAGTCAGGACTCGAGACGTAGCTGGTGATTGACTCTATCTGGGTACCGGGTTGTTTTCACATACAGACTCGTAAGACATGGGAGAGCGCGTGCCACATTTGGGGTCTGACGAATAGGATTTAACTGAGGCCTCTGCTACTTACCAGTGTGTGACCCTGAGCATGTCACTTCACCCGCAACTCCTTTCTTCATGTGTAAATCGAGAGTAATAGCACCCATTTTGCACAGTTGCTTTGAAACCTAAATAATATCTGTGCAATCACCTATCCTGGCACGTAGTAGAAGATCAGCAAATTTGCCAAATTTATGAGACCTTATCTGAGTATACATCTCTAGGGAGGTCAGGGGTCAAAATAAACAACACTGCTGTGCTCCCACCAGCGTGTTCGTACAGGTAGACCTGGGCCCAGATGAACAGCAGAGGCAAAGTGGAAAGGTGAGATGTCACAGTGAATAACAGGGGACAGTGCTGGGCTAGGCACGTGGTCCCTCTCATGGTGTCCTGGGCCATTAGACCTTCCAGATCTTTCTGGCACCCAAGGGACTCCCCCCTCCTATACGTGTGTGTGAGTGTGGGGGGGCGGATATTTGTTCTGTGGGACACTTACCTTTTTCCGTGGCCATTGGGGGTAGAGAGTGAAGGGGATCAAGTTCAAGTTGGGTCATTCAAATTCTCTTTTACAGTTGATTCTATATCTCAGGCGAGGAATGTTCAAGATAATTCTGGAAAATACTGTGCCAGAAAACACAGTGTTTGAAGACGAGTAGAGTCAGATCGGGAGCCACTGGCCAAATCTGGGGCAATTTGAACATCAAAAAAGTGATGATTACTGTAAGTGTTTATGACTCACTAAGGGTTTGGGTCTTGTTTTTCTCCAGTGTTCAGTGGAACCCCGGGGCCTCCAGCACGCTGGGCAAGCACCATACCACAGAGCTACTGTTTTAAGATCTGTGTGCCTACGGTGCTCCTACAGAGAGGAAGAGGCAAAGGGAAGGCAAGTGAGGGAGAGCTCTTCTTTACTAAGGCCAATAAGAAACTAGGAAGGAGTGTAGAAAATCACCACTTTCAACTCACAACATAATTGTTGATTCAGGTAAAGATGCCAAAAAAAAAAAAATACTGGGTCAAAAGGTGTGGGGAAAGAGAATATTCGCCATCGTCTCAGGGGAAAGATCCAACAGTTGTGATATCTCCTTACACCACCAGCAGTTCCTCATGATGTGATGACTCACAAAGCACCGAGAGCACTTGCCGAATTGCTTTACCAGGCAAATCCAGGAGGACGCACATTCCTTAAGGCAACTGGCCAGTAAGTGTCCAAAGTTAGTGTCAAGAAACACAGGACAGGGAGACCATTCCAAATTTTACATGATTAAATGAATGACCCAAAACATACAACATATCAGCTTTGATTGAATTCTTGATTTAAAAAAAAAAACAGTTATAAAGGAAAAATTGAAAACACTGGATATTAAATGCTGGATTATGACTAATTTTCTTAAATATGATGGACATATAGTGGTTGGGGAGAAAACTGTTTATCTTAGGTGAGGCATGCTGAAGAACTCAATGGAGAGGTGTGGGGATGTGTCCCACTGGGGGTGAAGAGCACGTGCACACGTCTGGACCTGAACCCCTGAGGTGTCTGACACAAGGCTTATTGTCCTATCAACTTTGTAAGAGTGCAGACACTTGCTCCTCATCTTTGGGAATTTGCAGTTGGCTTCAGAAATGCGAAACGCTCAGGGTTGGCCATTCAAACGGAGGAGAAGTAAACCCAGAAGCCGTGAGCAGCCACCTTCTCCCACATGCTTAGGAAAGTGGGGGAACAAGCCTGGCTACAGAGGCAAAAGCAGCAGCCACCCGTTCTTGAGGCTTACCCTTCTCCCAGGACCTTCAGCGATTGGCCCTTGACTCTACAGGTACGGGAAATGCTCCCAGCATTCCAAAGGCTTCCCCCTCAGGGGTCTGCTTACTGACCAGGACCCATCCCTAGGGATAAGGAGGAGCACCTTATAACCCGTGTCTCTGAAGGCATGAAAAGATGTCTAGGTAAGCTTGTCTGTCGTGACTAGTTAAGGAGGTAACCCAGGAAAAGTCAGAAAACCCTGCAGGGTTCTTAAGGCACTTCCAGAGGCCTCCCCAAAACACACCAGCACCACCCCAGAGTTGGTAGAAGGAAGGGCCTTAAGAACATGCATTTTATGACTCAGGTGACCCCAGACATGCAAAGAGAATCACCAAAGCTTGGGCAGAACCCCAGAACCCAGTGTCGCACTTGGTGAAAGAGGCCTTCAAGGTACCTAGCAGCAGAGAGCGGGCAGAGGAGGCCAACAAGGACAGGAGATTGGAGAAAAGGGTGCAGCTCCCAGCGACACTGGGAAACCCACAAGGCCCCCAGAAATCGACCCATGATGCCTCGGTCAGCACCAGTGTACCGACTGCTGAAAGGAAGGGCACGGGAGGAGGGCCCAGCGGTGGCAGAGAGGGCCGCCCAGCAGCAGGCCCAGACATGGGCCCCAGAGGGGAAGTCAGCACGTGCCCTGAAGAGACCCGAGGATCCTTCAGGCTTCTGCACCCGGGAAACATCACCATCACGTCAGCGGAGCCTCAGGTAACCTTGACATGGCAGGTCACAGTCTATGTTTCAAGTTCTCTGAGGTTTTCTTTGACAGAAAAACAATTTCAAGTAGTGCCTGTGTTTGCCTGATATCTTAGTTCTCATGGGTAGTCTAGAAAGAACTGTTTAAAATGGATACATGAGGCAAAGAGCAATGGGATAAATGTTTATGAATGTAAACGGTAAAGATAAAACATCTGAGTCACTGGTAAGTGTGTATGTGGACGTACTGAAGTCACTATCATAAATTGTTGGCATGGAGAGAAACAACCTAAGAGTGCTCTCCTCTGGCTATTTACCAAACAGTGAGATTACCAAGAATTAACATTCTAATTAACATATGTAAATTCTATGTGAAAAAAGCACAAAAAGGATCGGAAGCTGTGTTCCAACAAGAAAATCATAAAGGATTTTCTCACTTGAAAAGGATTAGTTTGTCTAAATTCAAAACCTAGCAAGGATTGATGTAAAATACAAATTTAAGAAAGAAACAAGAAGAAACAGCAGGCAAGATACAGCGATAAGAAAGTGAGGAGGGGGAGGATATGTTTGGGGTGAGAAAGGTTAAAAGAAAGAAGATGATTTTGGATGGGAAGGATTATGCCCAGTAAAAGAAGATTTTTATCTTAAGTAAATGTCTGGATTGTTCCAAGAGGGAAACAAAAAGATAGGACAAAAGCTAAAAGTGTAAGTCAGTCTGCGGGCGGAGAGTGGTAGCAACTTGCCAGAGATTGGGAAGGACCCTGGAATAAAAGGAAACTTGTGTGCACTTAAGAGATTTTCTAGAATTAAAATTTAACACACTGGTGTAAAGCCAGTGCCTAGCTATTTATGTTTAAAACAATAGGTTTTCTTAAAATATTCATCTGCTCTGAGTAAAGTGTACAAAGAACAGACTTAAGGAACAAAGATGTTCTATCTTACCAAGATAATTTCCTGTGTTTTCGACTGTCTTTGTTAGGTTTTTCATTACAAAAGGAAATCAAGTCTTCAAAGGGTAAGGATCTGTTTAAGCACCTGCATTAAAGTCTTTTAAATGGTGGTTATAACTCTGGTTAAGTAAACAACTATTATTTCACAATGATAGTGATGTGCTCTATAAATATTCTAGATTTTAGAAACTTGATAAAATCTGAGGGTCCTGTCATATTGCTGTCAGTCATACTTGTTTTCTTGAAATGCTGTATACGATGGAAATCACTGAATTTCTTTGTCAATTGTTAAGCTCTCTCCAAAATTCTTAACATGACAGTTCTAAGCCCTTGACACTCATGGTTTTATTTAACTTCTGCCTCTCATATTTCTGCAGAAGTACAACTCCTAACAAAATCGCGTGGTCCAAATGTTTTGAGATGCCTACAGGACAGATACGATTGAACTTAACCAGGGGCTCTAGACTGGTGGACCCAGCCTTCCAGGTGTTCAACTCGGAGGCCAAAGCCAGGGAGAACCCTCAGGACCAAGGGCTAAGAGGACAGCCAAAATTTTGACCTTTGCCCTCCAAGGTGAGCCAGAACCCGGGAGACAATGGGATCCCTCTACAAGGGCCCCCTGCAACCCCAATGAGTTACCTGACTTCCTGATCAGGGGGATTGGAGGGCCCTAGAGACTGGGAACCAACCAGTGCACATTCTGCAGAGGAGGGTCATTTGGAAGGAGAATGTCCCCAGTGATTTCAAGGGAAGCCACGAGATCAGCAAGACCCTGACCCATCCCAGAAGATGGCACAACTGATAGAGGGAAAAGACTGAAGGAGCCAAAAGGCCCCCACAAGTCCCTAAAAGCAACTCTTGAGAAGCCTCAACTGTCGGTAATAGTAGGAAGGGAAAAGGCTGATTTTTGGCTGAGTGGGGGGCCATCCACTCAGTGTTAAACACTGCAGGGAAATATCATCAAAGAAAAATGTGCTATTATGGGAGTGGAAGACAAGTTACACAGGGACAATTAAAAGAGAAGGACGGGAGCCCTATCATTTGGTATTTGTGGACACTTTCACAGGGTAAGTTGCAGACGACATGGCACCAGATAGGGTAGTGATTCTAATTGCAAAAGCCATCAGAGAACAGGAGGTGATAGGAGATCCGAAGTACAGAACTGGTTATTTGGGTAAAATATACTGGAGGCATCATTTATCAGGAGTCCAAGACCTTAGTCTGATAAAATAATCACAGAATCATAGTTTTTTATGTAGAAAGAAACTCAAAAATCATCTAATCTAGACTTTTTAATTTAGGAATGAGAGATCCAGATTCAGAGAGGTCACTTGCCTAAAGTCAGCACCTAGTTGCCAAAATAAAGTAAACTTTATTTAAAAAAAAAAAAAAAAAACTACTTGGTGCCTATGTATATATAGCAAGTGGCCAATGTGAAGGAAGCAAAAGGGATTAGGCAAACATTTCAGGTTAACAGATGAGTAATAAAATTGAACAGATTTGTTAAAACACAGTGAATTAATGGCGATTCACAGCAGAGAAATACCGTGAGAACCAGACAAAAACTAGTGGGTAAATTTGATATAAGAAAACTAAGTGTATAGCTGGGCAGGCTGGAGCACACCTGTAATCCCCATGGCTCGGGAGGCTGAGGCAGGAGGATAGCAAGTTCAAAGCCAGCTTCAGCAACTTAGAGAGGCACTAAGCAACTCAGTGAGACCTGTCTCTAAATAAAATACAAAATAGAGCTGAGGATGTGGCTCAGAGGTCAAGTGCCTCTGAGTTCAATCCCTAGTACCAAAAAGGAAAACTAGGTGTATGATCCAGGCATGGTGGCACTCACCTTGTAATCCCAGTGGCTTGGGAGGCTGAGGCAGGAGGATCCAAGTTCAAACCAGCCTTAGCAACTTTGAGAGGCCCTAAGTAACTTAGTGAGTCCCTGTCTGGAAATAAAACATTTTTTTTAAATGGGCTGGGGATGTGTCTCAGTGGTTAAGCACCCCTGGGTTCAATCCCTAGTACCAAAAAAAGAAAAAGAAAGAAAGAAGAAAAAGAAAGAAAGAAAAGTAGGTGTATGTTTGAGAAACTCCATTTCTACTTTGGCTAGCCGTAGTTCTCAGCCTCAATTATACATTACATTAATATCATTTGAGAGTAAAAGATGTTCCCAAAACAATGAGCCTCACTCCCTGAGGCCAGCTAAACCAGAACCTTTTGGAGTGGCCCCGGCTTTTGTTTCAGAAAACCCAGATGATTCTAAAGGCCACCAGGCAAGAGCCTCTGAGTTAGAGTATAGCATGTGCAGAGAAATGGCCGGGGGTCAGAATAATAGAGATTAACTAAGAAGGCCAATGTAGCTGTGTGCGGTGGCGCACACCCACGATCCCAGCAGTTTGGGAGGCTGAGGCAGGAGGATTACGAGTTCAAAGCCAGCCTCAGCACAAGCAAGGCGCTAAACAACTCAGTGAGACTTTGTCTCTAAATAAAATACAAAATAGGGCTGGGGATGTGGCTCAGGGGACGAGTGCTCCTGAGTTCAATCCCCAGAACCCAAAGAAAAAAAAGAAAAGAGAGTCAACTTCGAAGAAACCAGACACATCAATGTCTTGACCCAGCTTGCAGTTAGTAGAAATGGGACGAAGCGAGAGGGATTATAGCTGGGAAGTCTGTAGGACTGTGTGGCTATTTACATGTGGGATTGAGGTGGAGGGAAAAATGAAAAATACTGCAAAGGTTTGTGGCATGTGGAGTAGAAAAAGCCATGGGTTCTATTGAGAAAAACACTGAAGTGCAGGTAGAATTGCCAGCAGACTGTTGTGAAGAAGGTCTAGGGTTCACGAGAGATTAGTGACCACCTGTCGTCCTCAGGAGGTGACAGGAGGTCCGAAGTGCAGATCCCTAAGGAACGGAAGGGAATTAAAAGCAAGCTAGGGGAGAACCTTGAGGAACTACCTCGACTTAGGGGCAGAGGGAGGATTTGACGCCCATAGACGCTGAGAAATGGGTGAGTCGGAACCTGAAGGAGGAGACAGGCCCTCGGTATGGAAAATGCCAAGAGCAGCAGAGACTCCCGACTCCATTTGGCGGGTTGTGTTTAGGAGAAATTATAATAAATCCCGATTAGGAAATGAGTGGGTCCTGAAGACAAGCATGTAGCGGTTTTAGGCAATTCATTCTAGAAATTTTGAGATGATAAGAAAGTAACTAGAGGGAACAGCTGAAAAGAATGTAGAACAACAGAAACTTGAGCCCTGTTGGAGGAAGACGGCAAGGGCAGCTGAGAGGCAGAGGGCAGAGGGCAGAGGGCAGAGGGCAGAGGTGGGGCAGGGTGAAAGCTGAAGGCCGGGGGAGGAGACTGATAAATGGAGCCTCATCTTCCTGCCCCATGGAGCCTTTGGGTGGCCACAGGATCTAGAGGCCCACTACTAAGGGGGGACCTCTACCTCCTCTCTGTGGCAACTCTTCAAGTTGGGGAAACTCTCTACTTAAAAGGTTCAATTCCTGGACTCCTCATCAGTCTTGTGTACCCCCAAGATACCTGTTCCATTGTTGCCACCGATAAAATTTGCTACCCTGGGAGGAGAACCCCAATTTCACCATCTCCACTCCCCTGTACACAAGCATTAGCTACCCCCAGCACAAAGAATTCTCCAGGGACGAGGCCCTGTCAGTATGCCAGGGCCCAGAGAAATAGATGTGACTATTTTTATGTCAGCCACAAGACACTTCCCCCATGGCAATATCTAAGAGGGCCATTGGGGACCTCTAGTAAGAGTAGGATGAGCAGGATTGGTTGCTGGTTTGCTGGCCCTGTGCTGTGGCTTCATGTGCCATGAGGCCATTCTAGGGAATCTCAGCTCTCTGCCCCAGAAGACTGGAGAAGCCACTAGTGATTTCTTTGAGTCCTTAGACTCTCTTGTCAGTGTGGCCCTTCTAGCAGGACAGGAGGAGTCTGCGTGGCTAACAATACCTCCTGCCACACTTTGGTTTAACACCACCAGAGACAGAGAGGTTAACATCAAGGCTCGACATGACCCTGTGTACTCCCTCCCTTACACACACTTTTGGACAAGGCAACCCTGTGGCTACTTCCATTTGGGATATGGTCAGATCCACCCCACCCTCAGTAACTTGGTTCCTGTCTTTCTTGGGTCCTTTAGTAATTATTATACGATTGTTAATCTTTGGGCCTTATACTTTTAACCTTTTAGTAAAGTTTGCTTCTTCCAGTTTATAGTGATTCCTTGTCAAAGTGACGGTTATGCCAGTTTTCAAATCAAAATCTTTGGGGGAAGAATCAGGCCCACATAGATCATTAGAGCAGTTAGTGAGAGATTTTTATGCCTCTAGGGAATGATGATCAATGTCCCTGATCAGCAGGAAGCAACTACAGAAAAATAAAGTTCTTCATTCAGCACCATTTTATGATAAAAGAGGGTAAAATCTCTCAATGGGGGAATGAGACAAAATAGAAAGGACCCTCATTCTCTGATCAAGGTTCTCCTCCATGATATAAGCTGTCTTCAAAAGATGTTTCCACCAGTGACCACACTCAAAAGCTCTGACTCCTCCCCCGAGCTTTTAGGCAACTCCTACATGTACAGAATGCCCAACTTTGACCAATATACACCTTCCCGGGATTGCTAGCATCCCCAGACCCTGACTGGAGGTGCAATACTGAGCACCTCCACCATGTTCTGCAAGCTGAGTGCAGACAGACCCAACATGCATTAGCAGACCACTGTGCCAAGTGCAAAACCCAGTGCCAAGAGCAAAGAACTGATGAGATGTGTGCAGAAATCCTGGGATGGTGTGTGACAGCTGACAGAGCACCTGCATGGCCCCACCTTTTTGTCTGTGTAAGCTTTACTCCTTGAGACCTTATAGAGAAGTCCAGGGACCAGACCCTGTGTACTACCTCCCTTACACACAAGCATAAGCCCTAATAAAGCCTCACTGGGTGGTATTGTATGTTTGCCCCTTCATGACTTCTTTCTTGAATTGAGCAAAAGAACCCACGGCCAACCCGGTGTCACTAAGAGCTGGAAGACTAGTTAACAGTAGAGTCTGGAGTCTTTTGACAATTGTGCTCTCTTCACTGTGACATTGTAGACTTAACATGGCCATTTACCATGTCTGCCGTGTTAAGTGTGCAGCTCAGTGGCATTAAGTCCGTCCTCAAAATGGTGTGACCATCACCACCATCCATCTCCACAATGTCTCCATCTTCCTAAGCTGAAACTCTGCACCCATGAAGCACTGACTCTCCAACCCTGCTACCCAGTCCCCGGTCCACCTTCTGTCACAAGGGACTTGGCTACTCTGGGTGCCCTGCATAAGTCCTTTCATGACCAGCTTATTTCTCTCCAGGTTGCCTGGTATTGGGGCTCATGTCAGCACTTTCTCTTGAGGACTGAACCCTACTTACTGCAGGGATAGAACACTTTCTGCTTGTCCATTTATCTTGGGTCAATCATGTGGGTTGTTTCTACCTTCTGGCTCTTGTGAATAATGCTTCTTTGACTGTAGTGGTAGGGTGCTTTAAAGATATACGTGTTTAAAAACAAAAGTTT